TTTGAGACAGGGTCTCCCTATAGCCCCAGCTGTCCTGGAACTCACTATGTAGACCAGGTTGGCCTTGAACTTGCAGAGATCTGTCTGCCTCTGCCTCCCAAGTGCTGGGACTATAGGCGTGCACCACCATGCCCGGCTGGTTTTGTTTTTTTAAATAAAAGTAAAACCTGCCTGGGTAGATAATTCAGTTGGTAAAGTGCTTACACCAGAAGCATGAACATCTCAGTTTCATTCCCAGAACCCATATAAAAACAAGATATGGTGATGAACGTTCATGATTCCAGCTCTAGATAGGCAAACATGGAAAATCAGGGGCTAGAAAGATGGCTCACCCGTAAGGGCATTGGCTGCTCTTGCAGAGGACCTGGGTTCAGTTCCTAGCACCCACATGACAGCTAACCATCTGTAATTCCAATTCCAGAGGATCTGACACCCTCTTCTGACCATGGGCATTGCATGACATGGGTACACTTACACACATGCAGGCAATACACTCATGCACATAAAATAAAAATAAAATATTTTTTAAGAAAAAGGAAAGTTAGCCAGCCTAGCGTACTTGGAAAATTTCAGGCTAGGGAGCGACCTTGTCTCAAAAATGCAAGGTGGATGACTCCTTAACAGCCAAGGTTGTCTCTGGCCTCCACATACATGAACGTAAGTGTGCACGCCCACCCACACACACATATACAGTATCACTCATTAATTTGAAAGATATAGGGACGGGTATGGCTCAGTAGACAGTGCTTGTTGTGAGTATATGAGTTTGAATTGCAGCCACATAAAAGTCGGGTATAGTGAAGACAGAAGAACCCTGAGGCTCACTAGTTAGGTAGACCGGAGTCATAGCTATGCGCTCAGTGAGAAGACCCTGCCTCAGGAAACAGCGTAAAGAACGACTGAGGAAGACACCTAGTGCCAACCTCTGGTGTCCATGTGCACACACAAACACACATAAAACAGAAGAAAATAATTGTGATCCATCATCTCACACCCAGGTTTAAAGCTACAGTTCCTTTTTATGAGCATGTATGTACACATGTATATAACTGTAATATTCATATATATACATATAAGAATAAACATGTTTTTAAAAAATTGGGGAAGAACTGGAGAGATGGCTCAGCAATTAAGTTTGTGCTGCTTTTGCAGAAGACCTGAGTTCCATTTCCAGCACCCACATCAGGCAGCTCACAACTGCCTGTAACTCCAGCTCCAGGGGATCTAACACCTTCTTCTGGCCTCCATGGGCATTGCACTCAGGTTCACATACACACCCTCCATATACACATAATTAAAAAAATTAGGGAAAGTGTATGTAGAATTTTGAATCCTGATACATTAGAGAACATTTTTTTTAGACGGGGGTGTCCCCGTATCCCCAACTGGCCTGGAATTTGCTATATACGCTTGTGAATCCAGGCTGGCCTGGATTTCACAAAGATTTGCCTGCCTCTGCCTCCCAAGTACTGGGATTAAAGGCATGCACCACCACACCTGGCCCTTACAGAGCATTTTGTAACATTGCAAAGTCATTTTTCATTCCATTCATCTTCAACTATGAATATCTGAGACAGGGTCTCAGGCAGCCCAGGCTGGCCTTGAACTCCTTAAGAAACCCCCAGCTTCTTGATCACTGGGTTTACAGGTGTGTACCATCACACCTTTCAAAAAAATTTAAAATATTTGTATAGTGTTCCATCCTATGACCACACCATTAAGATTGATTTGTTGGTTTAAATATTACTGCAGTAATAAACCCTCCCATCTATGCCTACATGTCTAAGAATCATCAGACAGGGTGGCGCACACCTTTAATCCCTGCACTTGGGAAAGAGAGACAGGCAGATCTCTGTGAGTTCAAGATCAGCCTGGTCTACATGGTGAGTTCTAGGTCAGCTGGGGCTACAGGGAGACCCTGTTTCAAAAAAGACCAAAAAAAAAAAAAAAGCATTAAACTGACAGTACTTTAGCTATGGCCAAATCCACTGCTCCACTCAGCATACAAAACAAACCATTCCCCCAGAGAGGGAGGGTGGGAAAGGGAGGGAGGAAGAGATTAGAAAGGAGATAGTCTCTTGGGTCAGAATGTACGAGTTCTTGGACTGGGAAGATGGCTCAGGGATAAAGGTGATTGCTGCTCAAGCCTGAAGATGTGTATTCAGATCCCCAGGACCCAGTGCAGCAGTAATGCTGGCATTTGTAATCCCAGTGCACCTACAGGAGATGGGAGGCAGATCATCCCCAGATGCTCTTAGGCCAGCTAGTCCAGTTTACCCAATGGCAAAGAGACCCTGTTTCAAAAATAACCTGGAACGTCACAGACCAACACCAGGAGGCTGTCCTCTGACCCCCACACATATGCTGTGGCATACATGCACTTGCATGCACACATACCACATACAGGCACAAACGTATAAAAGAGTAGGAGTTGCTAAGTGTCTGCTGCAGATTGCCAGATTGCTTCCGAAAGGTTGGTACCAATTTACATTTCCAGCAATAGCTTTGGAGAGCTGACATCTGATGCTTGAAGGGTTTTTCCTAGAAATTTTGACTTTGAGGTAGGCATGGTGGTGTCCACTTTTAATCCCAGCACTCAGGAAGCAGAGGCAGGTTATCTCTGTGAGTTGGAGGTCAACCTGGCTTACACAGTAAGTTCTAGGCCAGCTGGGGCTACACAGTGAGACTTTGTCTTTAAAAACCTAAAAACAACAACAACGACGACAACAAAAAACAAACAGAAAAACCAATCTCAGACTTTGTTCTCTCAGCAAGAGTGGGCCTGGAGATGTCTTGAGAGATGTCTCCCAGACTTCAGAAGGATTCTGACAGCAGGAGCAGGTTGGAGGAGCAGAGTGGGGGCTGACACCACAGCACTAGGAGAGACACTGAAACAGGGCAGTGCAGGGGCTGGGATCAGAGACCTGGTGAAGGTGGCTTTTGGTTTCTGTTGTAAGGGAATAGCCAGAGAGGGAGAACACTGTGAAAGGTTTCAGACAGAGGGTGTAGGGTATGGTTGTGCTGCCTCTGAAAGTGGAAGGAAGCTGGTACCAGGCCTGCAAGGAGCTCAGCTGGATTGTGTGTTTCAGGCATATCCTAAGGATGTGCCTGTCAGGGATGGGCTTGGGGCAGTGGAGGAGAAAGACATTCTTTCTGTTTAGTTCCTATTTGGCAGTGCTAGGGATGGAACCCTGGGCCTCTCACATGCTAGGGAAGTGCTCTGCCACTAGGAAGAAGTGTCCTTGTTTGAGGGCTTTGGGATCTAAGACCTCTTTTATGTTCCCGTTGGACCTGAGTGTCTTCACCACAAAGTGGGTGAAGAAAAGCTGAGTGGAGAAGGGAGGGGACTGTCAGAGTGGAACCCCCAGGTCCCTGCATGGGTCCTGGGTTTTGGCCCTGAGCCTCAGGGCTTGTCTGGGAAGCCCTGTGTAGGGAGCTGACCACAGGTGACCTGGCAGGTACAATGCCCAGGAGTATTACGACCGCATTCCTGAGCTTCGGCAGATCATCGAGCAGCTGAGCAGCGGCTTCTTCTCCCCCAAGCAGCCAGACCTGTTCAAGGACATTGTCAACATGCTCATGCACCATGACCGGTGAGACAGTGGCCCATGCTGCCCCACAGGCTGCCACCACAGGCACCCAGAGAGCCAACAGGGCTCAGGCAGGGTGGGAAGGATGTCCAGGGGTCCTGGGCAGTGTAGCCAGGGTCCTTGGCTAACAGCTTCATTCACTCCAGTTGTCCATTGCACTAGGACAGGTATGGCCCTTGATCTCACAGAGCTTCTGGCCTCTCCTTTCCTCCTCCAGGTTCAAAGTCTTTGCAGATTATGAAGAATACATTAAATGCCAGGAGAGAGTCAGCGAGCTGTACAAGGTGAGGGGTCCTGGGCCAGGGGCTGGCTGGCTGGGCTTTGGCCCTCCCTGGCTGTGGCAGAGTGAACTCAGACCCCTCTTCCTTCCCGTCTGTAGAACCCAAGAGAATGGACAAGGATGGTAATCCGAAACATAGCTACTTCGGGCAAGTTTTCCAGTGACCGCACCATCGCCCAGTATGCCCGGGAGATCTGGGGTGTAGAACCTTCTCACCAGCGCCTACCAGCTCCAGATGAGAAGATCTGAGCATCCCCATCAGACCCCATCTGCCCTTGAGTCCGTTTACAATCCCTGGGCCAGCTCCACACCTCCTCCAGAGGGTGGGCTCCTGGAGTTACATCTCTACACCCCACTCCCCCTTCTGGAACCTCTAGGTCCCAGTGTCCAGAGTGACAAAGGACACTGCCCCATTCCTTCCTGGGGCTCCCACACCCTCCTGTTCATGTATGGGGTCTGACCAAGTTCACCCACTCCCCAGTAAATTCTCTTTGGGAGCTTCCTTACTCTGCTCTCTGCTGGGAAATATTTTTAGCTGCGGGCGAGCTTAACAGCTGCTGCGCAATCATCTTCTTATTCCCCCCTCCCAGCCCGGCAGGTGCGTCTTCTGGGAGGGGGGGAGAGAAGGGCGGCCCATGGGCGGGGCCTGGGACTCAGTCCCTTTTCCGGCGTCGCCCTCCACGCCTCTCTTCCCAGTGCTGTGTCCATACTAGGTCAGTGGCCAGCTGAGCTGGCCGGGGGCGGGGCGTCCGCCTGGGTGGGGCCCACTGGGTCTGGAATTTGGGCTGATGCCTCTGTGACTACTGAGCATCCACGATGTTGGGGGCGGGACACAGGAGGGGGCGGGCACTGAGGGGGCTTGGCGCCTTCCTGGCCCCGCCCCACTGCGGCGTTTTAGGGTCTCTTAGCAGGTACATGCTAGCTCCAGAGGAGTGTTGGGGTGTGGGGCATTCACGGATCGTTTAGGCGAGGGCAGTGCCACCCCTACCCGATTCTGGGGAAACAGGCCTAGAAAGGGCCTGTTTCTGGGTCTCACATTACCAAGACCGAAGTGCAGCAGAGGTCCTGCCTTCCTCGCCCAAGGCAGGGAGGGGCAAGCCTAAGAGGGGGGGTTTGGGGCCCCTGGTTTCACAGTGAGTGTTTGAACCCAAACGGCCGGAAACTGTTACCCATTCCCTAAGCCAGCTCGTGGGGGACCCCAACTGCTTGTGGCTGCCCCTCCCAAGTTCCTCCTTGCTTGGGCCCAGGCCTGCAGACCTCCTGTCTCCAAGCTGCGGGGAGCCCTCCCACTGTTTGCAGATGCCCCCCTTTCCTCGGCCCGGGTGGGGAGCCCCCTCACCCCATCTCTAGACATCCAGGCTGGATCTCCAGGGAGCTGCGAGTTCGTTCATCCCTCTTCCCACTCAGGCTCCAAAAAAGCTCGCGTTCTGTCCAGGCCCCTCCCCCAGCCCATCCCGGGGACCCGCAGCCCCCACGGCCCCGACCTCCAGCAGCCCTGGGCCTCGGCCGCCCGCAGGAAGACGCAGCCCGGGGCTCGGGCTGGGTTAACCCCGTGGGAACGATTTGTATCGAAAACAGGAACCCGGGCCGGGGGGCTGGGCGGGGCGCCCCTTCCCCACCGCAGTCCGCTTCCTGCCCCTCCCGGCTTCCTTCGAGCGACACCCAAGTGGGCCGCGGGTGTGAGCTGGGGGAGGACTCCCTCCCCAAGGTGCCTGGGACCGGTGGCGCAGCCCCCCGCTCCGGGGCGGTGCGGCAGGGGACGGGTTAAGCCGCCGCAGGGCCGGGCGCGTGCGGGGCGAGAGGGGGAGTCCCCGGCGGAGGAGGCGCGCCCCGCTGCGCAGAGCGGGGCGCGGGGGC